ATACGAACTTAAACGTAAATGGAAATTCGACCACTCAGACAATGAGACGAATTAGTACCCGAATAAGACCCGCTCCTTGTCCCTTTTTCTCTCCCTCTCTCTCTCAAAACCAGACAAATACCATTTACTTTGAAAGCATAACGTTCAACTGAAAATTCCAGATGCCTGAGCTCAAAGTTATCAACCTGCTTAAGCCCCACGCCGCCTCATACGACGTCGCTTTCGTCCCCCTACATTCAAATTCCTTCGAATCAAATCATTATCCACCTCTCACTCATAATCACAAGCATCGGAATCAAATTTATTCCTCAATTATAACTTCGTCCCAATCTCCCCCTCTCCCAGAAACCGCTATATAAACCCGCGGTTCTATTTTCCAAAAACAAAACGAAGCGCACAATCAAAATGCTTTCTCTCCACCTTCTCAAACCCCCAATATTCGCCGGAGCGCGAAGCACTCGCGCCCCAGCCAATGCGGCCGCGCCACGTGCGTGCCTTAGCGTGGACGTGCGAGCGGCCGATCAATCGAAGCCAGGGGTGGCGGTGGGGAGCCAGGAGGTGATGGAGGCGGAGGGGAGGGTTCTGGTGGGGACGTACAAAAGGCCGCCCGTGGTGTTGTACAGTGGCAAAGGGTGTAAATTGTACGATCCTGAAGGGCGAGAGTATTTGGATTTGTATTCTGGGATTGCTGTGAACGCTCTTGGACACGGGGATCCTGATTGGATACGGGCTGTCACAGAGCAAGCACGTACGCTCACCCACGTCAGCAACGCCTACTATTCCATCCCTCAGGTCACAAATGAATTTTTCACTGCAATTATATATCTACTGTCATTTTTTTTATTAAGACCCAAAAAAGAAAAAAAAAATAGGGCCAACCTGTATACATAGGTTAAGCTATTTGCACATAAGTTTGAGTAGATGTGTCAAACAGGCCGGTCCGGTCCATTTAAATTCATGCCTTTAACGTATTTGTGCCGGATCCGGCAGGCTCATTTAATTTATCAGGTCGTACCGTGTTGGTCAATTTAGTAAAACTATTAATTCCAGCCAAGCCCAAAGTCCAAGTTCATATTGAAACAGGCCGGATCAAACTTGGGCCGTACTCAGGCCCAAGAACCAGCTCATTTAATTTGAAATTCTCTCTTTTCATTTTGGAAGCAGGGACTCTGTTAATTGCTAAGAAAATTTGAAACAATTCAAAATTCGAATAACAAGTTTATTGCGAAATAGCACTTAATAAAACAAAGGCTTTATTTAGTCAACCCAACAAGACAATTCGTGAAGGTAACCCACAACAGATATCACCATTATTTATTCTAATGCACCCCAAATCTAAACTTGTTCATCATCACCACCACCTAACAAGTTCATGAAATTCAATATTTACCCGAGATTACCCCTATAGAGCCTATGATAAACCTTTCCTGGAAAAAACACAAACAAACAAACAAATAAACAAGCATTTGGCTTCATTGAGCAGCAAATCGGCAAACCAAGGGAGGAAGAACCACTTGACCAAAAAAAAAAGGGAGGAAGAACCAAAAAGGAGGCATATTAACATCTTAGGGGGAAAAAAAGGGGGGGTAAAATTTAACCTTTCGTTGTGATCTTTGTATAATGATATACTAAAATAACTGCATAGTATTTGGCAACCGAGAAAAATGTGGGGAAATGAATAAGATAGTTGGTTTAGCTGCAACAAAGAAAAAGGCTACCTTTTGTTTACACAAAACACAATATACAATATAAAGCAGAGATTAAAACGGGCCATGATTGAAGCGGGCTCAGGCCAAGTCCGGCTCATGTCGGGCCACAGGTCGATCCAGTCTTTTGGACTTCATTTTTTGATTCCAGCTCGGCTTAAGCTTTCGTGCCATGCCGAGTACGGCTCATTAATATTTGTGCTTGTGCTATGCCGTGCCTCATTTAAACAGGCTGGACTCGTGCCGCGCTGGACCTGCCCGTCCCGTTTGACACATAAAGTAGATATCACTTTGTCAAAAAAAAAAAGGGGGCCAGCCAGAGGGCACTTTTTAATGACACACGCGTTTTGCTTTTATGTGCTATTGAAGCTACCATCGCTTGTAAATGTATTTTTATTCCTCGTGAAATTTGCTCACGAATATGGCAGTTGTTCTTACTTTAGGTGGAGCTAGCAAAACGTCTGGTGGCTTGCTCCTTTGCTGATCGTGTCTTTTTCTCCAACTCTGGCACAGAAGCAAATGAAGCTGCCATAAAATTTGCAAGAAAGTTTCAAAGATTCTCATTTCCTGAAAAGAAAGAGCCTGCAACAGAATTCATTTCTTTCACCAACAGCTTCCATGGGAGAACGATGGGAGCCGTTGCTTTGACGAGTAAGGAGCATTATCGGTCACCATTTGAGCCTGTCATGCCTGGAGTTACTTTCTTGGAGTATGGCGATATACAAGCTGCAACAAAACTAATTCATTCTGGCAAAATTGCTGCTGTGTTTCTTGAACCTCTCCAGGGCGAAGGTGGCATACTTAGCGCAACTAAAGAATTCTTGCAATCCTTGCGTGGTGCTTGTGACGATTCGGGGTCCCTACTGGTCTTTGATGAGGTAGGAACTTCAATGGAAAACTTCAGCTTGTCTCAATAATCATTTAAGTTGGTGCTCGGAGAAACTGGTACTTGTGAATATATGAAGCTAGTTTTAAGTCCCAAAAAACATGTCTAACTTAACTTCACTTTCTGATGAAGATTGCTATGGAAATTGTTGTTTATTTATATTTTCTAAATTAGTTTCTGATATTTCATATATGTATACTTTTGGGGATACATATCCTATCCTATTCTATTCTGATTCTGAAAAGCTCCTTCTGATGTTTTAACTACTCCCAGGTTCAATGCGGCTTAGGCCGAACTGGTTATCTCTGGGCACATGAAGCTTATGGTGTATTCCCAGACATAATGACGCTGGCCAAGCCTCTTGCAGGAGGGCTCCCCATAGGCGCTGTTTTAGTTACAGAAAAAGTCGCAGCTTCAATAAAATATGGAGAACATGGAAGCACATTTGCTGGAGGGCCGCTTATATGCAATGCCGCACTTTCTGTTTTGAACAAAATCTCAAAGACTGAGTTTCTATCCAGCGTCTCAAACAAAGGTCAGTACTTCAAAGAATTGTTAACAAAGAAGCTGGGAAAAAATCCACATGTGAGAGAAGTACGTGGTTCGGGACTTATCGTTGGGGTAGAGCTAGATGTTTCTGCTTCACCACTTGTCGATGCCTGTCGAAATTTGGGTCTTCTAATAATAACAGCAGGAAAAGGAAATGTTCTCAGGCTTGTGCCCCCTTTGATTATCTCTAAGCAAGAATTGGAGCATGCAGCTGAGGTCTTGCTTGAATGTTTGCCGGTCCTCGATGGCTCTAATTGAAGTTGAATTACCTATTACCATTTAGCTTCATGTATTTTTTTGTCGAAAATTTAGGTTTATATATGACATGTACATTATTGCTGGGTTTTATGCATGTCTCTGTTTTGCGCAGTCCGATCGTTAAGCTATGCATCTTTATATACGTCGAGCTATATGTAATGGTTATTATGGTGGTAGGTATTCTCATGAGGATTTACATCTTAGCTGTTAGATTTGGTATGGATGGATATGGTCCATCTCTTTGATTCTTATTTGTCAGAAACTAGTTCATAAGTACATAGTAATTACAAGCATGAACATTGAAATGATCAAATAGTCCCACAACACTACTAGAAAGACAAACACAAAAAGACACAGCTGCCAGCCACAACCCTAATTCAGCACATCAGCTCCTTCCCCTAATATCGCTTGTTATCTTTTTTCTTTTTTCTTTTTTTTATACTGAATATAACACTTGTATCTATTTTTTTTTTTTAAAACAAAGAAAAACAAAAAATCAGTGGGGGTATAGCACAATTTGTTGAGCTTCCACCTCCACCCATTAATTTGCACAAAGGTTCTAAACCCCCACGCACCCATTGAATATTTGTGTAAACCCCTTCCTCCAACCTCTTGTACTAAAAAAAGAAAAACCAATCACACGCACACCCCAGTACATGAGAAAGCAAATTTATACACAGAGGGTGTGGTGAGGGGCAAGTTAAAAAACAAACAACGGAGAATCCACTCCAACCCATATTGATGAGTTCTTATAGTCAACTTTAGAATATAAGTATGAACATGCATGAAGGAGCTGAAGTTGGTAATTTGCCACGATCAAAACTTATTGAAACTAATAATATTAGGCAAAATTTGATGTAGAATTTGGATATCAACATGCATGTAGAAACTATCCCAAAATTTCGAGTAAGATGTAACCGAACATCATTAATGGAACGAAACACAAAATGAAAGTGCAAGAGTACCATGGAGGAGAGAAGCTCTTACAATATCCAAAATTGGTATTCTTAAAGGAAGTTGAGAAGAGGGAAGAGAAGCAGAAGGAATCTCTTCCTCATTGGCTAGCCCAGCAACTAGCACAAGTAAAACTAATCCCATCATTATCTTCATAATTAGTGTCATCGTTTATAGTGTTTATATATATCCACCTCGTATACACCTACCAACAAGACAAAGCATAACATATGGGCTTTTTATTCCGCTACTACAATATTTAGCAATAGTCACTAATTTTTTTCGAACTAAATTAAGCCGACACATCGGATAATTAACACACGAACTGCAACTAAGGGTTCCAAGTTCCAACTTGCATAGATACTAGTTAGGAGAGGAGGGCTTGGTAAGTTGTTATTACTTCCAATGCTGAGCCGCAGCGGATTTGTATACTTCAACCGCAAGTGGATATAGGGTGCAAAGAAAGAAACATATACGAATCCTTTATGGGTAGAAGCTGAAGATATAGACCCAATTGACAAACCGTGTGTAGCTGACATACAAAATTGTTAACCATAGCGAATGGAATCTAGGGTTTGAGCTTAGACAGAGAAAGTAAAAGAGAAAGAGAAAGGAAAGAGCTCTGTATATTTCTGTTATCTCTAATCTGTTACAATGCTTCTTAGCTTAAGCAGAACCTAAGCTCGTCTTTATATAACTACCTACCTTTCTTCTCCTCTAAGAATCTAACTAACATTCACGTGACAGACACGTGACCACTCCAACTCATTCAGTACACCTCAGCAACAATACTGTTAACAGCCCCCCTCAAGCTCAGCTGGGGGAGAGCCAAGGTTGACATTGGAGCAATGTTTAGTGAATATCGGACTGTGAAGCCCTTTGGTCAAGATGTCTGCAACTTGTTCATCGGTGGGAACATATTGAACAAGGAGATCTTTATTCTAAACATGCTCTCGAATGAAGTGAAAGTCTACATCCAAGTGTTTAATGCGAGAATGAAAGACGGGGTTGGCACTGAGGGCTAGAGCAGACAAGTTATCAGTGTGTAGCAGAGGTGCTTCAGGAATTATCATATGCAAATCACACAAGACTTGCCGTATCCAAGAGATTTCAGCAGCACAGTGAGCAAGTGCTCGATATTCTGCTTATGTAGAGCTTCGAGAGACAGAGGCTTGCTTCTTGGAGGACCAAGAGATCGAATTGGAACCAAGAAACACAACATAACCTGTGGTGGATCTGCGTGTATTGGGGTTGCCAGCCCAATCTGCATCATAATATCCAGATAAGACATGGTCCCTGGAGAAAAGGTGACACCAAAAGGCAATGTTCCTTGAAAGTACCTGATGATGCGCTTAACAAGACCAAAGTGAACATCTGTAGGACTGTGCATAAACTGACAGACTGTGTTAACAGCAAAAGCAATGTCGGGTCTCGTGAATGTCAAGTATTGCAAAGCACCTACAAGACTTCGAAAAAGTGTAGGATCGGAAAGAGGGATACCTTCATCCCTTAAGACCTGATGGTGGAGTTTAGAAGGGGTGCTACATGGCCTACATGTATCCATAGACGCCTTTTTTGATGAGATCTTTAGCATACTTGTGCTAATTAACAAAGATCTTACCCCCTGGCTGATAGTGTACCTCAAGACCGAGAAAGTAACGAAGCCTTCCCAAATCTTTAAGTTCAAACACTTCACCAAGTGCTTGAATAACAGAGGCCACTAATGTTGGATTTGAACTTGTGATTATAATGTCGTCGACATACAGTAATAAAATGACAACATTAGAGGCAGTTTTCTTCACAAACAAACTTGAATCAGAATGTGAGATTAAGAACCCTAAGGTAGGTAAATAGCTTGTGAATTTAGCATTCCATGCACGAGGTGCTTGTTTTAGTTCGTAAAGAGATTTCTGAAGCTTGCACACATAATTAGGATTTTGGGAGTTGATAAAACCCTGGGGTTGCTTCATAAATACCTCTTCTTGAAGATCATCGTGAAGGAATGCATTTTTCACGTCCAACTGCCGTAATTCCCACTGAAAGTTGACATCCTAGCTAAGAATGAGACGTACTATTGTATGGTGTACCACAGGACTAAAAGTTTCATCATAATCCAAGCCATATTCTTGGCTGAATCCCTGAGCAACCAATCTGGCTTTATAGCGAGAGATAGTGCCATCTGCATGCCTTTTGATTTTAAAAATCCATTTACAGCCTACAATGTTTGTATCTGGAGGAGGAGGAACAAGAGTCCAAGTACCTTGCTGATCAAGAGCTTGAATTTCTTCGGTCATGGCTTGTTACCAGGCTGGTTGACCAATAGCTTGCCTAAAATGAGAAGGAGTATCTGGTTCTGTAATGGTAGCTAGCTGTGTATGAAAACTAGAGAACTCTGGAAATTGCTTAGGTTGCACAATACCAGATTTGGACCGAGTTTGCATAGAATGAGTGTTCCTAGAGCTTGCAGTGTGTAGCTGCGTAGGAGACTGTGGTTCACAATGCATCTGTGAAGATGAAGTGGTAGGAGGAAGTAGCACCTCTAACTATGCATCTGTGAAAATAAGGAGCATTTGATCATCATGGATGCGAGACATGACAAAAGATGAAGAATTGGAGGATGGACTTGATGTGGCAGACAAAAAGGAATCAGATGAATGACAGGGGTTGTGGCATAGATGACATAACAATAGCAACTGGTGACTTCTGAGCAGAGACAGTTTGTGAAGATGCAGCTGGAGATGAACATGGATGATTCTTAAAGGGAAATATGTCTTCATTATGTATAACATGTCTAGAAATGAGAATCTTCTGAGTTTGCAGATCATAACATAAAACACCTTTATACCCCATAGAGTATCCTAAGAACACACACTGGTGAGAACGTGGTTCAAGTTTGTGAGTATTATATGGGCAAAGTAAAGGATAAACTGCTGATCTAAAGACCTTGAGAGAAAGGAGATCTGGATGAGTACCAAAGAGCTTATAATAAGGAGGGAGCATAGTGAGAACCTTACTTGGCATGCGATTGATCAAAAACGTTGCATGAGTCACAGCATAATACCAAAAGGGAAGAGATAATCCTGCTGCAGTGAGTAAGGCAAGAGTAGTCTCAATGAGATGTCTATTTTTGCGTTCGGCCAGTCCATTTTGCTGTGGGGTGTATGGGCAAGAGAGTTGATGCAGAATGCCTTTAGAGGCTAGAAAATCTTTAAACATGCGACTAATGTATTCACCACCACCATCGGATTGCAAAAACTGAACTTGAGCTTGATAATGCGCCACAATATATGCATGAAAATGTATGAAACACATAGGCAACTTCTGATTAATTAATCAAGGGAAATACCCACATGTAACGCATACAGTCATCGATAATAGTGAGAAAATATCTATAACCACCTAGAGCTGTGACAGCTGAAGGACCCCAAATGTCTGTGTGCAGCTTAGTAAATGGTTTAAGACTAGTGATAGAAGAAGAAGAAAATGGAAGCTTGTGCATCTTTCCTTGTAAACATGAATCACACATCTCAAGAATGGAATGGAATCTACAGACAAGGGAATATGAGAAATCTTTAACATGTGATGAAGAACATCATTGGAAACATGGCCTAGTCTAAGATGCCACAGCTTGGTTTTGACGTGTTGGCCCAATAGTGCAAGAGACCTTGAACCTGCTGGTGAAGCAATAGGCAACTTGGTTTGGACTTTATTGTTGACTGCATCTTTATTAGCTAGAACAGGTACTGAAGAAGCTGATTGTGACTTGTGAAACTGGGAAAGTGGAGGATGAAGCTGTTGAGGATGAATATGTGGAATAGGATATAGCCCTTTGTCACTCTAACCTATGTACAGAATCTTGTTGGTTTGCTTGTCCTGCACATAGATGTGATACTCATCAAATACAACAATGCAGTTGTTATCCTTACAGAGTTGATACACAGAAAGAAGATTGGTTGCAAGTTGAGGAACATGATAAACTTGTTTTAAGTGTAAAGTGCCAGGTAAATCTGATAAAGTGGAATATCCAATATGATCTATTTGCAGACCTTCCCCATTGCCTATAGTGATCTTATCCTCAGAAGAATAAGGAGCAGAAGCTTGCAATCGATGAACATTGGGTGTCATGTGATGAGACGCTCCACTTTCAGCTATCTAGAGATCATTTGGAGTAAAAGGAGAGGAAAGATTGGTAGTCATAGCCTGAAGAGATTGTGGAGGAGGAGAGCCTTGATAAGCAAAATTGGCTCTGTGATAGCAGTTCAAAGCTATAGGTGGGGAAGAGGTATCTGGAACCCTGTAGTAACAGTTTGGTGCAATGTGTCCTCTCTTATTGCATATTTGACACTCAGGAATAGCTTAGGATTTGGGGGCAGAAGAGAACCGGGGTGAAAAACCACCTATGTGGTTGCTGTGGTTATAGAACCAACCAGTGTTGGAGCCTCTACCACGAGGAACAAAGTGATTGGAAGAGCCTAAGTGATTAGTCTGATAAGAGGCAGAAGATGAGTCTAATGGCTGATAACATCCATGCGAAGAATTGTCTGAGGACTTTACTCCAGTAAATCCCATAGGAAAAGAAGACTGAGAGTGAGCAGTGATAGTACCAACTGTAGAGGAAGTACCCTGAGACTGAGAGGCATCTTGAGAATGAGAGGATGATTCATGTTCAAATGGACTGACGCTCATCATACCAGTCATAGAGTGATTCAGTGCTAACGTTCTGGATTCAATGTTTTTCTCAACAGACAGTAATTGAGCTCTGAACTCCTTGAGAGCAATAGGTGTTTCTCGGGCAATTAGCACGGTTTTGATCATATCAAACTCCTGTGGTAAACCATTCAAGGCTGCAATAATGATGTCGTCATCAGAGAGTTTAAAACCTGCTGCAGATAATTGGTCTCGAATGTGTTTGAGACGAAGTAAAAACTTCTCTATATAATCACCACCCTTGTGGATAGTGTGCAACTTAGTTTTGAGTTGATTAACTCGAGCCCTTGAGACAGAAGCATATCAATGTTTGAGGCTTAACCATGCATCCCTGGTAGACTTGCATCCAATGACATACTCTATTGCCTCACCAGACATAGTTGCAATAAGCAAACTAAACAAAGATTTATCAGTTTGAATCCAGTGACGATAATCCTCAGTTAATTCAGTAGTCACTCCTTCAGACTCAGTAATGACATATTTTAGGGGACACACAAAAATGTGCCATCAAAATGACCGTATAGGTCGTATCCTTGAAGAACAGACTCCAATTGATAATTCCACTTCACAAAATTATCATCATTCAACTTAATAGTCAAAACACCTAGTAAGGTCTCAATTTTCGGAACAGTAATAGTCATGGCAGAGTAGCTTCAATACGCAGAGAGAAGAGCTTAGTGCTTTAACGAATTCAAGAAAATAGAAAAAGAGCTTCGTGCTTCGTGCTTCAAGGAAATAGATCTAGTGCTTCGTGCTTCAAGGACGCAGAGAAATCAGCTTCGTGCTTCAAGAAAAGTACAGAATATGCTTCGTGCTTCTAATGAAATTGCATCATGCGTAAACAACAATTGAATACATAATCAACATACTAGAGAGAAATCCATCATCGTGTCAAGAAGAACAGTGCACAAAGGAAGTTAGCGAAGAACACTTGCATAATCGCCAGAAATAGAATCAGACTGGAAAGAAGCGTGTGCATCCAACGAACTGCCATTCATGTAATTGCGAGCCGGAATCTCAGAAATTGATTGTGATATAGTGGAGCGAAAGCGAAAAGGATCAGGAATCAAAGAACCTGGCTCTAATACCATGTTAACCATAGAGAATGGAATCTAGGGTTTGAGCTTAGACAGAGAAAGTAAAAGAGAAAGAGAAAAGAAAGAGCTCTGTATATTTCTGTTATCTCTAATATGTTACAATGCTTCTTAGCTTAAGCATAACCTAAGCTCGTCTTTATATAACTAACTAACTTTCTTCTCCTCTAAGAATCTAACTAACATTCAAGTGATAGACACGTGACCACTCCAACTCATTCAGTACACCTCAGCAACAATACTGTTAACAAAAACAAGGTTAGCCATATCTCCAGAATAAATGGAAAATTAGCCACAAGAAACCCAATCACGATAGTAGCTGACAAAAACGCCGCTGTGTTGTAGCAAAGAAAGCCTATGAATAAATTTTCGTGAGAAGCTAAAACTGCTTGACCCGCCCGGATGGTTGTTCGGCGGAGTACTGTCAGCTTCTTGCCACATCCCATCGGGAGGGGTCACTCCTGCCACGAGGTCGCAGTGAGAATCACGGTAGCCACCACCAAGAAAGCGCTCCTCACGTTTTCTGTTGAGTCCCCTTTCTTGTACCAAAAGTCATCCAGCCATTCCAACCACGTATAAGAGCCATCATTTGCAGATGCTTGCGCAGCCGCATCCATTCTCTAGGCTAATTAATCTCGTTAATTATCCCCCAAACTAATAAATAACAAGATGCAAAGACTACATACATACAAGAATAAAAAAAGAATATTAAAATAATTTGACACGTGTCAAAATCACATTGGTTGTAAAGAGGAAATCCTCCTCAATCTTGAGGAGCCATTACTACAAAAAACGAAATAGACAACGTGGATTCACTGTCATTGTGATGCTTTGAAACCGTCATTAAATCAACCAACTTTTTTTCACCCTCGTTGTTTATCTGTAAAGACGACGGTTTTTACCGTCATTGTTTTGATGTAAAGACGGAGTTGATTTTATATATAAACAACTTTTTTGTTAAAAACCGTCATTGTTTATAGGTAAAGACGACGGTTTTTATTAAAACCGATGTTGATTGTTTATAAAAACCGTCGTCTAATAAGTTCCCAAGCTATTACATTTTAGTTATTTTTTGTTTCCTATGATGCTATACAATGATTTTAATTAGAAAACCAACCATAATGCTTTATTAATGTATATATACACTAAAAAATGGGTTCTTTCATAAAACTTGAATATTCAATAGTTATTAAATAGTTAACCAATCTTTATTCTACAACATACATACTTTATATCATTAAAAAAAAATGAGGAATTCTACATAATCAACTTCAACCAGTTACATGTAAAGTGGATGAATACCCAAAGTTCATTGATTTGCCAGCCTTCATTCTTGGAACTCTTAGATGAGTCTGTGCTTTTGTGGCTCTAGGGTTTTTGCACAAGGTCTTTTTGCCAAACATAGTCTATTTGCTCTTTCAAGAATATTGATTAGGGCTGAGACAAAAAAAAAATAGGGAGAAGTAAATTGATTGTTAAGAAAATGAATGCAACTACAATTCCAAAGTTTAAGTATCATAATTCTATAAATACAAGCACAAGTTGGAGCCCAATTCAAACGACAGTAACAATAGCTCACATGTTAAGGATCCTTAAGCAGTCAAAATCTACGCAACCAAACTATGTAGCCGCAACAATTTATAATCATGGAAGACAGAGGTAAATATGATGGCAGAGAATGAGAGAAGACAAACAAGCCATATTTGCAGAGTGCTTGCCTTACTTGCCTTACAATGGATGATTGCTGGAAAAGAGCTATAGATGCAAATCAACTGGAAAATAAATATGGTCAAGGATATATAAAATGAAATCATAGTAAAATGAATATAAGAGAAATATTGGAAAATTTCAAGAGATATGAAATCGTACCAGTGGGGGTTATGTACTAAATGAGTCTGTGTTCCTCATCACAATCGAGCTACCAATTTGAGAAAGGCAATAATTTGAATGTTGGTTATGTATGTGTCATCAATCAACACAAAGACACATACATCGAATGACTTTCTTTCCCACGTTCAAGAGCCTCTCCAATATCAGATTGCACTCCTTTTGCTTCCCTCTCTCCTCCTTTCCAGCTTTTACTTTTAATATTCTAATGCAAAGTCTTCACCCATTGTCTTCTTGTCCCCTTGCAAATGATGAAGCCTTGTCCTCACAAAGATGCCAAAAAATGAGAGAAGACAAACAGGCCATATTTGCAGAGTGCTTGCCTTACTTGCCTTACAATGGATGATTGCTGGAAAAGAGCTATAGATGCAAATCAACTGGAAAATAAATATGGTCAAGGATATATAAAATGAAATCATAGTAAAATGAATATAAGAGAAATATTGGAAAATTTCAAGAGATATGAAATCGTACCAGTGGGGGTTATGTACTAAATGAGTCTGTGTTCCTCATCACAATCGAGCTACCAATTTGAGAAAGGCAATAATTTGAATGTTGGTTATGTATGTGTCATCAATCAACACAAAGACACATACATCACCAACATTCAAATTATTACCTCGCACGAGAGCCAAGGCTTGAAGTGACGACGACAGCCAAGGGCCTGAAGTGACGACGGTAGCCAAGGGCCTGAAGTGGCCTAAGAGATCGATTTTGACGAGGCTTTCTAGATCGTGACCACGAAATTGGAGAGCTAACCGGACCAAGTCGCTAAGGTTGATGAGCAAGTTGAGCGCATCTAACCAGCTTTGATTCTCATATCCAAAACCTCCCCTTCCATCTTGTGGATTTGCAAAGACCTCAATCTCTCAACTCCTTTGTTGATATCGATTTTCTGATGATTTTGTAGGGAGAGGAGTGCTCAAGATATGTGAGAGGGTGTGTTTCAGAGAGTTTCATGAGGGTGTTAGAGTTGAGGAGGGTTTCATGTGGGGAAAGATAAGGTTTTCAGAGACACGGGGGAAATCTGAAAATTTTAGGTCAAGCACGAATTCACTTAAGCGGCATTTTTTTGTTTAGCGTGTTTTAAGAGAGGACACTTGTTCGTGAAAATCGTCGTCTTTTAAAAATCAACCCAATGCTAGTAGTGTATAAGATGAGATATCATGAGGGTTTTGGAAAAACCGTCATCTTTAAAAACACAACGACGGTTTTAAGATGCACCGTTGTATATTTCGTGTCGTGTTTAACTATTTTGTAGTAGTGAGCCAAGATTTTTCCCATTATTATAATAGGTTAAACAACTATAGTATTATAAATGATCTCAAACTCACACTTTGACACACGCAAAATATATATTTTCAAGTTCCACGTAAAATTGAAATTAGTCACCAAACAACTATTGTTCAGTTTTCAGTTTTCAGTTTTTTTAAAAAAAAATTGAAACTAGTTACTAAACAAGTTTTCCCTTTTAAAAAAATCAATACTGAAAATTGAAAATTGAAAACTAAACTGTTATCCAACAGGCCTTCGCCAATTGGATAGGATCCCTTCGGAACACCCAAATTTTTGTTAATGTTCTGCTATTCAAGTTGAGTTTGTGGATTGGTCAGTTAGAGAAAAATGAAGGAATAGAGAATAGCTTATTGAAAAAATGCTCTGCTTACTCACAAAGTATGTGTGTAAGAATTTGTATATTCTCTATCTGTAAGAATGAGCTCACACGACATGTACTACATGACTATTAGCTCTTAGCTGGATTCACACAAGCTACAATGAATCTCAGCCATCCATCTAGCTCAATTCTAGGATTACTACTAGTGGCTATTTTCAGCCTTATACAATTGAAGCCTTACACTTGTCATTCTCTAGGACTAAGTGAATACACAATTAACACTCTAGGCTTATATGAAATCAAACTCATTACTTACAATTCTACACTCCCCTTTAAGTTTTGAGCTGATTTCACACCAAGCTTGTCCTTGAGATAGCAGAATCGATCTTTAGCCAATGACTTTGTGAAGATATCTGCCAACTGCTCATTTGTAGGACAATAAATCAAATTAAAAATTCCTTCTTGCAAGGCATCCTTGATGAAGTGATATCTTCGATCAATGTGCTTAGTTTTCTGGTGGAACACAGGGTTCTTTGTGATGGCAATTGCAGCTGTATTGTCACAATGTAACGGTGTAGCTTCAGCTCGAAATTCACCAAAGTCTTCCAATACAAATATGAGCCAAATTGCCTGTGCATTTGCTTCTGATGCACTGATGTATTCTGCCTCTGCAATAGAAAGAGCAACACAGTTTTGTTTGACTAATGCCCAAGCAAAAACACCACTGCCAAAAGAGAAAGCATATCCTGAAGTGCTTTTACTGTCATCCACTGAACCACCCCAGTCACTGTCACAGTAGCCAATTAACATTGCATTCCTTCCTTTCAGATACTCCAACCCATAATCAAGTGTCCCTTGAACATACCTGAGGACTCTTTTGACAGTTCCATAATACTTATTAGTAGGACAATGTATAAATCTAGCAAGTAGACTAGATGCATACATTATATCAAGTCTTGTAGCTGTGAGGTATAGCAAACTTCCCACAATCTTCCTATATTGCTCTTCATTTGTTGGACCACTTCCATCATCTTTGCTCAACTTCTCAGTTGTAACCAGAGGTATAGAAACAGGTTTACATTCACTTAGGCCAAATTTACTCAACAGAGATGCTACATATTTTCTTTGATGAAGAAAAATGCTAGTGTGAGTTTGAATGACTCCCATTCCTAGAAAGTGATGCAAGAGCCCCGAGTCTGTCATTTCATATTTCACCATCATATCTTGCTTGAACTCCTCTAACATTGACTGACAATTCCCTGTATAAACAATATCATCTACATAGATGGACACTATCAGAATTTCTGCTTCTCCTCTAGTTTAGGTATAGAGAGTGGCCTCACTTTGACTTTTGGAAAATCCACACTGAGTAAAGTAGGTGTCAATTTCACCATACCAAGCTCTTGTTGCCTGTTTTAGGCCATAAAGAGCTTTATGAAGCTTGTAAACCTTGTCTTCACTCCCCTTGACCACAAAATCATCAGGTTGATCTACATAAACCTCCTCTTTCAAAACACCATTTAGAAAGGCAGATTTAACATCTAACTGATACAATTTCCAATTTTTATGTGCTGCCAATGCAACTAGGGTACGAATTGTATTAAGTCTAGCCACTGGTGCAAAGGTCTCATTGTAGTCAACACCTAGTTTCTAAGCATAACCTTTGGCAACCAGCCTTGCCTTGTTCTTCTGTACTGAACCATCAAGGTTTAGCTTGATTTTGAACACCCACTTAACTCCAATTATAGGCTTATTAGCTGGTCTGTCTACCAGCTCCCATGTTGCATTTTTCTCAATCATTGACAGTTCATCCTTCATTACTTTCATCCAAGCTTCATCTTTAGTAGCTTCATCAAAATTTTCTGGTTCCATAATGCAAAGATTGCATTGAGCTAGAACATCATCCAGATTTCCCCATTTTAATGGAGTGTGATCAAAAGCTTAAGTATCTCTCATGCTGCTGCTTATATCACTTGTCCTTGGTGACTGGAAGTGATCATAACTTCCAGAGGTGTCAT